AATAAATAAATATAATCTGGTTTTTTTCTTTGTTTTCTTTATTTGTCTTTTTGAGACAGGGTCTCGCTATGCAGTTCAGGCTGACATTGAGCTCACTTTGTAGCCCAGGCTGGCCTCAAACTGGCTATGATCCTCCTGCCTCAGCCTCCCAAGTGCTGGGATTACAGGCATGCACCACCATGCCCGGCATCTTTTCTTTGTTTTTTTGAGACAGGGTCTCACTATGTAATTCAGGCTGGCCTCAAACTCATGGTGATCCTCCTGCCTCAGCCTCTCTAATGCTGAGATTACTGCCGTGTGCCACCATGCCCAGCTCTATAATGTCTTTAGTACAAAACAAGTCCTCCTCCTCGTCTCTCAGCCTCCAGGCCTCACCCCATGGCCGGCTCTGCCCGCCCTTCCCAGGAGACTCTGTGAATGTTCCATCTGCCAGGGCAGTGCCCGGGGTGCCTTTCAACATTGCTTAAGGAGCTGTTGGTATTATCAGCCTTGGGGTTCTGTCCAGTTCCCGTCTAGTGCATGCCGGGGCCTCTCGCACTCTCGTAAGTACAAATCGACACGGTCCTGTGTGTGCCGGGACTACACCTCGTGAGTTTCTACAAGAAGTGTCCCTGCGGCTAGGGGTGACTTTGCCAGACCCCTGCCATATCTCTCCCTTGGGGCCATCCAGTCACCCCTCAACCAGTGTGCTCAGGAGAGCCTGCTCCCCACAACCACACCTTCCTGGGCCCAACTTCCAATCTTTGCCCACCTGGTAGGTACCTTGGAGTTGCCGTAATTTCCATTTTTCTCACTGTGGGCATCTTGTCCAGTTCAAGAGCCACTGTGGTCCCTTTCCTGAAACTGCCTGTTGGTTTCCGTCCCTGGTGATGACGACTTCAGGAAGGCCGCCCGCCCGGCTGGGTTATGGTGGGTTATGGTGACCGTGTTTCCATGCACCCTGCATCCTGACCTCTACTTCTCAGGCAGAACCCACCGTTTTGTTTTGGTTTTTGTTTTTGGTACCGGGAATCGAACTCATGACCTCGCGCTTGCCAGGCTGGCGCTGTGCCGTTGAGTTATATACCTGGCCCAGAACCCACTGTTAGAGAACAGGCAGCCCTGTGTGGCCTGGGTGGTGGGTGTGAGAACAGGAACCAGGCCACCGTGTGATGCCTGGGCCAGCTGCACCCTCTGGACAAACTCCCTCAGCTCTCCCTGCCTCAGTTTTCTCGCCTGAGACATGGGCTTGATGTGAGGGTTGTGGGGAAAGATTCGTGTAAAATGCTGGGAGGCGCCTGCCATACAGGGGCTGCCCTGAGCTGTGAGCGGAGGCTGCCTGGTAGGGCCGGGGCGCAGCAGGAGCCACTGTGGAGCCAGCAGAGAACTTTCGGCACTCACGTCGGAGGACGAACAGGCCCGACCACCGCATACCACAGGGGCACGGTCACCCCGGGTCCTCAAGGGCCAATGGGGCCGAGCTCCCTGCCTGGCAGCAGGCCAATGCTGGGACCACTGGGGGCTGCTGGAGGTGGTGGTTCAGTTCTCCCTCGGGCGGGTGGAGAAGAGAGGTCCTGCCTTGCCCAGCCGCCCATGAGCATCCTGGCTCCATGCTGGGGGCCCAGGGAGGGTGGGCAGGCTGGAGGGGAGGGGGTGCGGCTTCAGCGTGGGGCTGCAGGCCCCGGAAAGCGCCAGCTCCCCGCTCTGGGCCGCTGAGCAGAGGAGCAGATGGGAGTGCTCCTCTCCCCACCCTAAGACTCTCGTAGGGCGGGGAGTTTGAGAGCTGCTATCCTCCCCTCCTCCCCACTCGCCGCGGTGTGTCCCTCGAGTTCCCTAGAGCTGTTCTCAGGGCCCCGTGGACAGGTGTGGGTGTGACAGAGCACAGGCCTTTGGGTCCCAAATCTGTCTGTGAGCATGAAGGGTGACCTCTGTGGCCCCCCGTGGCCCTGTCTCCTCTCAGGGAACACCAGTGCGCTCCCTGCGCCCCGGAAAGTGCCAGGGCCCTCCACTGGGAGACATGGGGACACAACCCAACTGTGCCCCAGAGCAGGAAGTGGGACTCAGAGGGCAGGGTCTTGCCCAGAGCCACACAGGAAGCGGAAGGCAGCCGAGGGGGCATTTCCTATTCAGCTCCCGGAGGGTGAGAGTTCCCTGCAGTTTCCTGGCAGCGCTGGCCCAGCCACCCACCGTCACCCGGGCTTGCGCCCCCTCTGGGTGTCCTTGAGCTGGGGTGGAGCTGCACAGGGGCCCCCACCTGGAGCTCAGCAAGCGAGTCACCCTGCTGGTCCCCACAGGGCAGGGTCGTGTCCCCTCAGACCAGGCTCCCCGAGGATGCGGACAAGGATGAGCCCGCGCCTCCTTCTGTGTCTCCCCTCGCCCCTTGTGTCCCTCTGTGTCCAGCAACTGCCCACAAAGCAACCCAAGAGAACAGTGGAGACCCAGGGTGTAGTCAGTGGTGCTGCCTGCCCAGCATGGGCGTGCCTCTGGGCTCATCTTCGGCCCCAGAAAAAAACAAGAAAAAAAAAAATACTGAGCACTGGGCCCACGCTCTGCCCGTCACCTCCTGCACCCTCTGCTCCCCCGCACTCACTCCCACGCGCGCTTCCTTACTGACAGCGGTTCCCTGCTAAGCTATGTTTGCTCCTCAGAAAACCTCGGACTCGCTGCTCTGCCGGGGCACTGCGTGGCTTGGGCCTGGGGACTGTCCTGAAACCTGGCCTTATCTCCGTCAAGACCCCAGCAGCCCTGGGAACCCCAAGCAGAGCAAAGCTGGCAGCCTGGGCAGTGCTGTGTGATATAAATAGCCAGCTAAGGCGCTTCCTCTGCCCTGCTTTGTCTTAAGAGGCCTGCGAGCCTTAATCCGAACAGCCCTGAGCAGCTGGAGTAAACAAGGTGACCCAGGACAGGGCTGCAGAGCAGCCACACTGGCACCAGCCTGGGGGCATGTCCTGCAGGGTTACAGCCCCCTGCAACCAGCTCTCGGTCCTGGGGCCGCCTCCTCCAGGGAGTGTGAGGCTCACCTCAGCGATTCGCTATGTGTCCCGATTTGGTGGGAAAGGAAAAAGGAGAATTCCTTCTAGAAAGATCTGCTCCTCCCTGTGTGCTCCTCGCCTCATCTCTGCCATCAGAATCCTGGCCCTAGGCCGGGTGTGGTGGCGCACACCTATAATCCCTGTTCTAGGGAGGCTGAGGCAGGAAGATCATTGTGAGTTTGAGACCAGCCTGGGCTACGTAAGTGAGCTCAAGGCCAGCCTGAAGTGCATAGCGAGACCCTGTCTCAAAAAAAAAAAAAAAAAAGGACCCTGGCCCTGGGGGCTGGGGGGCTCAGTGGTAGAGTACTAAGAATCCCAGCCTCAGGCTGCTGTGGAGCAAATCCACAAGCTAAACGGTCACCACTTCTCAGTCCTTCAGATCCAAAGGTAAACTCCTTGTGTATTTTTCAGGGCAGGTTGTTGGGAGCCAGCTTTGTCATGCAGGAACCCTCCTCAATGAAGCAATCCAAATGTAAACAGGGAATGTCTGAGAGCCCCTTCTCTTTCCTCCCCAGCTGCTCAGCCATGACCCCTGGAGCTCACCCTGGGGCAAACAGAACTCCTGGAGCTCCCCAGCTATCCCAGGAGCCTGGCTTTCCTGGGGCACAGGCACTGCCCCCTGGGCATAGGTGTAAAAGTATGTGGGCTACGTGGTGAGGTGGTTCAGCTTCCACCTTGAGTCTGCAGCCCAGCTTTGTGGAAAGTGAAAGCCAGCAGCTACATTTCTTTCCTGGAAATTTAGCCCAAGGGAAATGAGGGATCCAGAGCTTGGAGCAAAGGACCAGCGTTGCTTGTGACCTCCAGGCCTGAATGTGTAAGGCTGCCTCCTGGTGTGGAGCACGGCCATTAAATATCGGGAGAACATTCCGCAGACATTCCCCGATCAGCATGCAGTTGCGTTTACACCGTGGTTCCCTGTGTTATTAGGTAAAGGATAACCAGACTAGCTTACATGTGGGAAAATTAAAGCCATCTACCCGTTACGGGTGAGAATCTGACTTGCATTTCTTTTTCTGCTTTTTCCCCTCTTAATATTGTCATCATTTGAGGCGGGTGATTGTTAAAATATAGAAATTCTTCTCCAAGTCCATGGAGTTTGGATACTTTCACACCAACAAGTTCGCGTGGGCATTGAGGCAAACCCGATTAAGCTAAGCGTTTGCCTGAAAATTTGGATTCATTGGTCACTGGGAGTAGAGTGACCTGGATAATTTCTCCCCTCTGAAATAGAAAGGGATTTGGGGTCACAGGGCAATTCAGGATGCAGAGACAATCAAGGGGCATGACAGAGCCCCCTCATCTGCTCGGGACGCTGGCTGTACCACGGCCTCTCACCCCCGGGAGTTCTCCCTGTCCCCGGGCTCCACGCCCTCCTGGGCGCTGTATGCAAATCCCACCACCTTGTCCTGTCCCTGTGGATTGTCACGCGGGGAGGGCAGAGCCCTTTGCAATCCTCTCCTGGGCTGGGGATTTGTGGTGGTAATCTCCACCTACAGAGAAAGCACGGCGCCCGCCCCGACCTTCACTCCCGCTTCCCTCGCACCTGAGGCGCAGCCCAGCCGTCTGGGGCTCAGAAAGGTCTGGGCTTTGTCCATGTTCTGCTGCCAGTGTAGCCCGTGCCTCAGTTTCCAGTGTCTGCTGACTTGCCAGGCCCAGAGGGAACTGCTACACTCTAGCAGCAGCCAGTGTTGTGTAGTGCCAGAGAGAAAGAAGGTGAGGGTGAGCCTGGCTTGGGACAGGCTGCCCTGTCCCTAAAAATCGCCAGACCCAAGATGCATGCTGAGATCCCTGCCCCTGGCCTCCATAGGATTCTATCTGCACATGTGCCAGGGACACCTTAGAAACCCTGTCTCGTGCCGCACTGTCATCATGCAGAAAGTAAACACCAGCAGGCCCTTGATGAGCTCCTGCCATGCACCAGGCTCTACATTGGGCCAGGAGGTAAACACCTGGGTCATCCATCCCAGCGCCTTCATTTGAAAGATGGGTGAGCCAAGGCCCGCAGAGGCTAGTGATTGGCTGAGGTCAAAGCTACTGACCACAGCCGACCCGCAGCCCAGAGCTGCCTGTCCCGGGCCTGTGTCCCACGGCCGTAGGAGCAACAGAGCTGGCTGGAGCGCACCAGGTCCAAGGTCAGACACCTTGGGAGTGGACACTCAGAGTCCACAGGAAGCCGGGGGTGGTGGCACACGCCTGTAATCCCAGCACTTGGGAGGCTGAGGCAGGAGGATCATTGCGAGTTCGAGAACAGCCCAGGCTACAAAGTGAGCTCACGGCTGGCCTGAACTGCACAGTGAGACCCTGTCTCTAAAAGACAAAAAAAATAAAAATGCAGAGTCCACAGGATACAAAACAAGGGAACTAAGCAGGAAACAGAAACCCCTGGGGCTGAACCCACCTCCTCGGAATGTGACAAGCCCCAGGTGAGGCCTCAGAGCCTGGGCGCATGAATGACCCCCTCACAGCCTGTGCATTTCATACAACCTGACGCCCTCCTCCCGCCTCAGCTAAACATCAGGTCGGGCCACATGAACTTGCTACTTTTATGAGCCAAAGAGGCCAGGGTTCTGGCGACTTCCTGTGGTCTAACCTCAGCCCCCTCCCGGATGCAGGGATAAGTTATGCACCCCACGGTGAGGGAAGGGCCCTGGATGGGCTGGGAGTCAGAGGCCTGAGCCAGGGGCCACTCACTCTTTGACTTCTTTGGAGGAAAAGTCCAGGTAGCGGTTGCTGATCCACTGAATCTCGAACCAGTCCCGAAAGCCGTTGTTGCCGCAGCACTGGAACTCGATCTGCAGCATGTCGATGGTCCTCTTCATGAAGCAGCGGCCCGGCGTGTCGGTGTCGCGGTAGTACTTCATGCCGCTCCTCAGCCCGTGGGCCAGCGTGCTCTCCAGCGAGCCCCGCAGCAGGAAGCAGCACAGGGCCACAAGGAAGAGGGTGACGTTGAAGAGGATACAGACGGCCAGATAGGGCTTCAGCCAGGGCCTCCACCTGGCGAACTTGGCGGGGTCCAGGGCGTCGTAGCAGATCTTGCCAGCCAGGGAGTTGAAGACGCAGGACAGCACCCCCACCCCTATCAAGGAGTTGGGCACGAAATGGCTTTCGGCATTGTTCATCACCTCGCTCCTCTTCCGGAGCTCGATCTTCAGAAAGAGCCCCAGGCTGAAGACGATGATGCCAGCCAACACGGAGAGCCAGTTCATGAGCCAGAGCCCCTGTGCCAACTTGACCCGCTTCTTCTGGTCAAACTTGACCTTAAGCAGCACCATGTTTGCCCAGTGTGGTCCAGCGGCGTCCCGCAGCACAGCTCCCTCCTGACCCGGGCGACTTGGGGGGCCGAACGCTCAGGGCCTCCGGAAGAGCACAGGCGGCCCGCGCTGCAGGGGGCTCCCCTGGGGGGTGTCCATGTCGGGCGCCTGCCCGGGACCCCGTGAACGCAGCAGCAGCGGCAGGAGCTGGTCCCCGGTGTTGATTCCGCAGCTCCCTTCTCAGCCGAGCAGGGACAGCTGAGCGCTGCAGATTAAAAGCGGGATCCTCGGGACACCTTGTTAATCTCTTTAGCCAGGTTCATCCCATTAGATAAAGCCGTGCCAGGCACACAAGACGAGCATAAGGAGCCTCGGGGTGCTGCCGGGCCGGAGAGCTCTGGGTTCAGCTGGGAGAATGGGGAGCAAAAGAGGGCGGCTGGCCAGACGCCAGGCTGAACCCAGGGGGCTGGCCTGGTCAGGGCTGCAACTTTCTGTGGGACAAAATGCACTGTAATCCAAGTTGAAAAAGAAATGGCAGATGGCAATAAAACACTTGCAACGCACGCACACAAAGAGAATATGCACAGAAGTCTCAAATCCCACAAATGCACTATCAAAAGAGCAACAGACTGTCAGTACAGCTCTGTAGAAGAAGCCCTTGCCCAGCATGGGGGAGGCACCGGGTTCCACCCCAACGCCAAAAAAAAAAAAAAAAGCTGGGGAGATGGTGCACACCAAGGAGGCTGAAGTAGGTGGATCACAAGTTAGAGGCCAGGCTGCAATTTAATATCAGGTCTCCAAAAAAACCCCCCACAAAAATAAAAAGAGCCAGGCGTGGTGGTGCACACCTGTCATCCCAGCACTTGGGAGGCTGAGGCAGGAGGATTACTATGTGTTGGACACCAGCCTGGGCTACATAAGCAAGTTCAAGGTCAGCCTGAACTGCATAGTGAGACCCTGTCTCAAAAAGACAAAAAAAAAAAAAAAGAAAAGAAAGAGGAAGGCTGGAGACGTAGCTCAGTGCAAAGGGCCTAGGTTCAATCCCCAGTGCTATTAAATACAAAAATAGGCAAAAGTTCTGTCCTAGCATATAAATATAGACAGTTTGAAAAGCAGACACACACTCTTGGTGAGGGTGTCATTGTTTTTAATTAATGGACTGTTCCTTAGAGCATGTTTAGGTGTACAAAAAGAACAGGAAATTCATAACAAGGAAACCTGGAACACCTACCCAACAATCTAGAAAAGTTCTCTAACCTGAGTACTATGCAGAGAAACTCAAATTAAAACATTTTAAAAAATAAATTTGGGCCAGGGATGTAATAGCTCAGTGGCATGGCACCTACCTGGCAAGAGTGAGGTCCTGAGTCTGATGCCCAGTTCCAATTAAAAAAATAAATTTAAAAAAAAACAATTGAAGCCGGGCATGGTAGTGCACACCTGTAATCCCAGCACTTGGGAGGCTGAGGCAGGAGGATTGCTGTGTGTTTGAGGCCAGCCTGGGCTACAAACTGAGCTCAAGGCCAGCCTGAACTGCTTTGGGAGAACCTGTCTCAAAAAGACAAAAAAAATAAATTGGGTGGGAAATACAGAGTTCCCATGTATCTACCTCCCCCTAACCAGGTTCCACTCCGGGTAACACCTGCATTGATCTGGTACATGTTTACAGTGCTGTGAGTTTTGTTAAATGTCATGAACCCAGCATGGTCGTGTAATACAGTTCACTGCCGTGACAAGCCCTGTGTTCCACTGAGCCGTTTCCCAGCCTCCCTAGCCGCAGGCAACCACTGTCTCCATGGCTTTGTTTCTTCCAGAACGTTCCATAGTTGGACTCGCAGCCTTTGCCGGCTGGCTTCTTTCCCTCAGAAACATCTTTTTATGGCTTAATGTAACCCTTATGTACCACAGGATAATGTGCCATGGTTTATCCAGTCCCTATTAGAGAGTATCTCAGTTGCCACCACATCCGGCTTGGATGTAAGTCTCAGCTCATTTGGGTGAATACGCAGGAGGGAAATGGCTGAATCATGCAGGAACAGTGCGTTTAGCTTTGTGAAAAACTGCCAGAGTGGGGTCCCTGTGGCCACCTGCCTCACCAGCATTGATCTGATCAGTACTAGCTCCTCGGTGTCGTTTTGTTTAAGGCAGGCATGCAGCACCACACTCAGCTTCAGAACATACATTCTTTCAGCCTTTCAAAGAGTAATTTATCTGTTTCTATTAAAGTTTACTGTTCACATTCCCAATGACCCTGTACTCCCACTTCTCCCAGCAGCCTGTGCGTAAGTACAAGCGATTTGAAGAACAAGTCAATCTTGTCCTCAGATTCCTGGCCACCTAAAACCAAAGTTTTCCTGACTAAGAAGCTCAGGAGCTCATGGTGGCAGTGGGTAAAGTCCCTGTTCTGGAGTCTCCTTTCTTCTTTCTCCTTTTTTTCTTTGTGAGACAGGCTCTCACTATGCGGTTCAGGCGGGACTTGAACTCACTTTGTAGCCCTGGTGGGCCTCAAACTCACAGCAATCCTCCTGCCTCAGCCTCCTGAGGGCTGGGATTACAGGCGTGCACCACCATGCCCTGCTTCCTTTCTTCCTTATGTGCCTTTGCTCCACTAGATTCACCACTTGCACGCTCTGCTTTAAGATCCTCAACCCCTAGGTTTAAAAAAAAAAACAAAAACAGGGGCTGGGGATTTAGCTCAGCGGCAAAGCGCCTGCCTGGCAAGCGCAAGGTCGTCAGTTCGTTTCCGGTGCCGGAGAAAAAACAAAAACAAAAAAAAAACAGGCGCATTTCTCCAGGGACAGGGGAGGCCCCAGAACAAGGGCAGGAGGGGTGAGCTTGTGCCCTGTGTCACAGTCACTACAGAAAGCAAACACTCTTATTTCATTGCCAGCCCATGCCCGGGCTCCAGTAGGCATCTGCAAAGCTGGGTTCCTTTTTTTAAATTTCTATTTTGTTTGTTTTTTTCCGGTACTGGGAATTGAACTCACGACCTTGCGCTTGCCAGGCAGGCGCTGTGCTGCTGAGCTAAATCCCCAGCCCCCAAAGCCGGGTTCTTGTTATGTAATTGTCAGTCAATCTGGAGTAACAGTCCTACGCAGGTTTATGGCTCCACTAACAGCCAAGCCCCTCGGATCTCTAAGCATTTGGACCCTTCAACCCTCCCTCAGCGGGGAAGCTGAAAAAAAAAATCCGCTGGCTTTTCTAGAGTCATTTCACTTTGTTGTTTGCAAGAGAGGACTACAGACAGCGAAGCTGGCGGGACTCCACCTCCTGCACAGGCCTCTGCAAACAGTGGTCCGCGGGGCATCGCGAGGCTCCAGGGAACCTCCGAGGAGTATGACGAGGAAGACAGAAAACCAGGCAAGAGGAGGAAGAAACTTAGAGGTTTACCAGGGTAACCGGACTAGCCCAGCGCCTCTTTCTCCTTCAACCTCACGTCCTGTATGCACCTATGGGTGCCCCCTGGTGGCCAAGAAGAGAACAGCTTCGGTGAATAAAAAAGTCCCTTCTCTACCGCATCCCTGAGTCAAATGGCCAAGAAAGATCAAAGAGAAAGAACTGACACCCCGGAAATGTCCGTGGCCACAGTTTTCAACTGTGAATGAGGTCGGGACATGGTGAAGAACTCGCAGGGACGGGTGAGTTTCTGAGAAGGGTAATGAATCTTTAGTGGACCAATCCAAATGAGAATGGATGTTATATGTCTATTTAAAAGGATAATAGGCTGGGTGTGGTGGTGCACGCCTATAATTCCAGCACTTGGGAGGCTGAGGCAGGAGGAGCTACATAGTGAGTTCAGGCCCATTTGAACTACAAAGTGAGATCTTGCCTCAAAAAGAAAAAAAAAATGCATTTTTTATATATATAAAATATACTATGTTATGGAATTAGGATGATGTATCAGTCAGGGTTTTACTGGAGAAACAGATATAACACAGGATGTACAAATTATAAGAAATTACAAGATTGGCTTACGACGGTCAGCTAGAGAGTCATATGAGGAAGTGTGCAGAGGGTGTGTGCACACTGAAGACCGAAGGAATCGGTCTAGGGTCTGGAGTTCACTGCGAAGTTCCGTGCAAGTCCGTACCAGGAGGCCGATGAGTCTGCGACGGAAGGCTGAAGGACCCAAGTTGCAAGCCAAAGGGTCTGCACTAGAAACCAGGAGACGAAGTCCAAGCTGAAGGTGAAGACTGGAGCTCCTCCAAAAGGAATGGAAGTCCCTCTGTCCTTCTTCATTTCCCTTTTATATTATCTAGGTGACGATCCACCCTAGGGTGGCTCCTCTACACCCTAGCTTGTAGAATTGCTGAGCCAATTGCTGAGCCAAGTTTAGTTATGCTTCTAAACTTCTCAAGTTGACATAATCAATCAACCACTACAGATGATTCATTTTTCTTCCTTTTCCTTCCTTCCTTTTAATGTAGCTAGGCATGGTGATGCATGCTTGTAGTCCCAGCTCCACTGGAGTCTGAGGTAGGAGGATCACAAGTTTAAGTCCAGCCAGGGAGACTAAGGTGATTTCCAGACCTTGTCTCAAAATCAAAATAAAAAGGGCAAGGGTATAGCTCAATGTTTTAGCACTTGCCGAGCACGCCCTGGGTTCAGTCCTGACAACTGAAAAAAAATTTTTATATGTGCAGAAAAGTGAAAAGTCCACTTATAAATGTAAGCTTGATCAATCATAGTTAGAGTTGCAGGGCCAGGGATATAGCTCAGTGGCACAGTGCCTGCATGGCAAGTGCAAGGTCCTGAGTTCTATTCCCAATACCCCCAAAAAAGTATGGCAGAGTTAGAGTTTCACTAACATTAATACATTCAGCTATAGTTCATGAATGTTTTTAACTATAATGTTCATACAAAGAATGTATACATCTTTGTAACAAATAATACATACGCAACATATAAGAAAGAATATATATAGCCGGGTGTGGTGGTGCATGCCTGTAATCCCAGCACTCAGGAGGCTGAGGCAGGAGGATCATTGGGAGTTTGAGACCAGCCT